TCCACAAGCTAAAAACATGATTTTTCGTACAATCAGGGGCCATAATTCAGGAAGTTACGTTCCGATATGCGCGAATACCGAAAGGAACCGAGATTTTTGGGTTATAAAATTACATTTCAAGTTTCAACAAAATCGGATAAAAATTGTGACCCCTATAGGGTCCACAACCTTGATATACCATATTTTTACGCTATTTCAAGTATTTGAGAACGAAGGGCGGCCATTTTGTCTGTCAGTTTTGGGCTGATTTTCATGAAATTCGAACTCAGTCGTCCTTAGGGTGTAACGGTGATATAATAATACGTTTTTTCAAATTGGATAAAAATTATGACCTCTATAGGGTCCACAAGCTAAAAACATGATTTTTCGTACAACCAGGGACCATAATTCAGGAAGTTAAGGTCCGATATGCGCGAATACCGAAAGGAACCGAGATTTTTGGGTTATAAAATTACATTTCAAGTTTCAACAAAATCGGATAAAAATTGTGACCCCTATAGGGTCCACAACCTTGATATACCATATTTTTACGCTATTTGAGAACGAACGGCGGGCATTTTGTCTGTCAATTTTGGGACGATGTTCATGAAATTCGACCTCAGCTGTTTTTAGGGTGTAACGGTGACATAATAATACGTTTTTTTAAATCGGATAAAAATTATGACTTCTATAGGGTCCAAAAGCTAAAAACGCGATTTTTCGTACAATCATGGGCCAAACTTCAGGAAGTTACGGTACGATATGCGTGAATATCGAAAGGAACCGAGATCTTTGGGTTATAAACTTACATTTCAAGTTTCAACAAAATCGGATAAAAATTGTGACCTCTATAAGGGTCCACAACCTTGATATACCATATTTTTACGCTATTTGAGAACGAACGGCGGACATTTTGTCTGTCAATTTTGGGCCGATTTTCACGAAATTCGAACTCAGTCATCCTTAGGGTGTAACGGTGATATAATAATACGGGGTTTTAAATCGGATAAAAATTATGACTTCTACAGGGTACACAAGCTAAAAACGCGATTTTTCGTACAATCAGGGACCATAATTCAGGAAGTTACAGTCCGATATGCGCGAATATCGAAAGGAACCGAGATCTTTGGGTTATAAACTTACATTTCAAGTTTCAACAAAATCGGATAAAAATTGTGACCTCTATAGGGTCCACAACCTTGATATACCATATTTTTACGCTATTTCAAGTATTTGAGAACGAAGGGCGGCCATTTTGTCTGTCAGTTTTGGGCTGATTTTCATGAAATTCGAACTCAGTCGTCCTTAGGGTGTAACGGTGATATAATAATACGTTTTTTCAAATTGGATAAAAATTATGACCTCTATAGGGTCCACAAGCTAAAAACATGATTTTTCGTACAATCAGGGGCCATAATTCAGGAAGTTACGTTCCAGCGCGAATATCGAAAGGAACCAAGATCATTGGGTTATAAACTTATATTTCAAGTTTCATCAAAATAGGATTAAAATTGTGACCTCTATAGGGTCCACAACCTTGATATACCATATTTTTACGCTATTTGAGAACGAGGGACGGCCATTTTGTCTGTCAGTTTTGGGCTGATTTTCACAAAATTTGAACTCAACCATCCTTAGGGTGTAACGGTGATATAATAATACGTTTTTTAAATTGGATAAAAATTATGACCTCTATAGGGTCCACAAGCTAAAAACGCGATTTTTCGTACAATCAGGTGCCATAATTCAGGAAGTTACGTTCCAGCGCGAATATCGAAAGGAACCAAGATCATTGGGTGATAAACTTACATTTCAAGTTTCATCAAAATAGGATTAAAATTGTGACCTCTATAGGGTCCACAACCTTGATATACCATATTTTTACTCTATTTGAGAACGAGGGACGGCCATTTTGTCTGTCAGTTTTGGGCTGATTTTCACAAAATTTGAACTCAACCATCCTTAGGGTGTAACGGTGATATAATAATACGTTTTTTAAATTGGATAAAAATTATGACCTCTATAGGGTCCACAAGCTAAAAACGCGATTTTTCGTACAATCAGCGGCCATAATTCAGGAAGTTCCGTTCCGATATGCACGAATATCGAAAGGAACCGAGATCTTTGGGTTATAAGCGTACATTTCAAGTTTAAACCAATTCGGAAAAAAAATGGTGACCTCTACAGTGTTCACAAACTAAAAATGTGATTTTTCGTATAATCAGGGGCCATAATCCATAAAGTAACAGTCAGATACATGCCAATATCGAAAGGAACCAAGATCTTAGGGTTATAATCCTATATTTCAAGTTTCATTGAAATCTGATAAAAATTGTGACCTGTAGACTGTTCACAAACAATTGTGGACAGACGGACGGACGGACAGGGGCGACGACAATATACGTCCACATGAAAATGTGGGTGTATAAAAAAATGTTTTTCTTTTGATGTTATTTACAATATTTTATTGCTTAATTATGAATAAATACTGTTATAAACTCCTGAGTATTCATTCCACAAAGTTTGCAAATGCCGATAAGGGACTTGACTAATCACCGGAATTCACCGAAATTTACCGGAATTCATTTACGATCACCGGAATTCACATATAATCACAGGAACACACTTCGAAAACCTACGATTCCTCCCACGTTTCACGTCCACTCGAAACAAACATATGGTTCAATTTTATTTCCATAATTCGTTTGCACGTAGGAGTCTTTTAGCAGTGGGAGGAAACCGGAGGACCCGGAGAAAACCCACAAGGATGGATTTATTTGAAAGACTACCGGAATTTATTTCAAATATATCCATCATGAATATTATAGCGTGTGACAGTACATAAACAGCATATAAAAGAGGAAGTATACCGCAAAATCCCATTAAGTGGGCATATCGCGGCGTGTGCTAAAAATAAATCGCCACATTTTCATATTTTCCCCTTTTATAAACTGTCTGATAATAATATCACAAAATTAAGAGTTAAAGAAGAGTATTTTATAAACAAATTCAAACCCAAACTTAACCAGTGATATTATTTTGTTTTAATTTTTATGAAAAATTATTGTAATTATCTCTCCATAACGACGCTACATAATGACGTAACGCCATTATCTATTATTGCCTTGAAAGCCTAACGGCGAAACATGTAGGCATTTAAATAAAATTTCTTTGATGGTATTTTCTACTTAATCTTTTAGAATGTATGATATCCTTTTATGGTAAGCACCCTTTTAATATATATATATTTTATATATATATATACACACACACACACACACACCATAATAAAAATCACTTCCATGAGTTATCTCCCGTGAACCTCTGATTTGGGCACTAAGCATCGAGGCTTCTTAAATTCAACTGAATTGTTATTTTGTGTATCCAGTCAACATTTTTGGAGTAATTGGGTGTTATTTTGGAGTTATTGGATAATTTGACGCAAATTGTTATTTTGTGTTATTTTGGAGTTAGGTCTATTAGATAATTCAACGCGCCCAACGTTATCATAATCATGATGCTTATATACTCAGCCAAATTAAAAACTTGACACTCAGGATTTTTGGGACTAAATTTTTAATATTTGGTTTAAGGCAACTATTTTAGTGTTATGTTGTGCACAGACGACCTTGACATCAACAGAAAGCAAGAATACGTCTCGACGAAAGTCCGTGACATTGATAACGTTCGTAATGTCACAGTATCCCCCAAAATGAAATTCACAGACTTGGAGAACAATTGGAATAAAGTGTTTAGTAACGATTGTGGCCTCCTCTAGCGTCTCGTAATGCCACACAACGTCTTCTCGTGGATCTCACAACATTAGTAAACACTACCCGAGGAAGTTGTCGCCACTGCTCAGCAAGAGCATGTTGAAGGTCCTGCAACGTCAGTGGTGGATTCACTTGCTGACGAACACATCGACCCAGTGCGTCCCAGATGTGTTCAATAGGATTAAGGTCGGGGCTAAGCGACGGCCAATCCAGGACTTGGACACCGGCATTTCTTAAAAAATTCTGGCTAGCAATTGCTGTATGGGGTCGAGCATTGTCTTGTTGAAACGTTAGTCCAGCCCATGTCTCTGCATAAACGGAAGAACAGGTTGCAAAATCTGATCCCTGTACTGGACAGCATTTAAGTTCCCTTGGACAACAACAAGAGGAGAACGTCAATGTGCACAAAAAGAACCCCAAACCATGATGCTGCCGCCACCATATCAGTCAAATTCTCTGACGCATACTTGAGCGTAACGTTCACCTTGTCTGTGGTACACTCGGACCCTGCCATCGGCAAATCTCAAAGTGAATCGAGATTCGTCACTAAAAACAACCGAATTCCACTGTCTTTGAGTAAATCTTATGTGTCTTGTGGCCCACACAAGTCGGTTACAGGGATGAAGAGGTGTCAATATTGGTCCATTACAGGGGTCTCCGAGCTCGAAGACCAGCAGCCTGCAAGCGATTTCGAACAGTTTGTGCAGTTACTCTTCCACCAAACATCTCTCTACTTGTGGAGGTTGCAGTGACAAATCTGTTTCTAAGATGACGTAATCGTATTGCTTGATCTTCCTGGAGTGACACCACACGTGGCGCTCCCGCCCTTGGGCGGTCGGCAATAGTTCCAGTTTGAAGCACTCTTATTCTAAGATTAATTATTGTCTGGCGTGAACAATTAAAGGCTCTTGCAACAGTGACCACAGACTGACCGGCATAGGGCCTACCTATAGCACGTAGACGTTCTACATTTGAAAGGCGCGGCATTTTCTAACAAAGATGAAAATAACAATTTTAATTTGTTTTTCCAGTTCAAGTTACGTGTGCGTGTTCAGTTTAAGCAAACTTGCATTGATTGACCTCACGAGTTTGTGTTTGCACGTGTTTTTCATCTTTATATGCTCAAAAGTCATTTCATCTTTATATGCTCAAAAGTCACGTGATCCACGTGACTTTACAATTTTATGAAATTAAAGGCTTCTTACTACTTACAATTGTTAGAAACACTTTAAAATTTATTTGACTTACCAGAAAAAAAAAATTGTTGAAATTCATCAGTGTCAAGTTTTTAATTTGGCTGAGTATATTTGAAATGAATTCAGGTAGTCTTTCAAATAAATACACTTACAGCGCCTTCATCTGGCCTGTGGAGAGATCAAAATAGTTATTCGTTATATTATAAAGTATTATACATTTAAAATACATTAGTTTTGTGGGAGAAATCTGGGATTTTCGAAGTGAATTCTGGTGAATTCCAGTGATTGTAAATGAATTCCGGTGAATTCTGGTGATTAGTCTACCCGATAAGGAGCTTTGTTTACGTCACATGACTTCTCACTCACTTTTCCACCCGTAGCATTATCCGTTTCTGTTCAATTTCTATACATCTTAACAAACTGTTTATAACGATAGTTTGATTTTCCAAAGGAATCATTGATTTTCAGATAGAAATAAATTTTAATAAAGCAGAAATATAAATAGGCCTAATGCCAACATTGCCAACTATATACATATTTTCAGAGTTCCGGTAGATGATTTAATTATCATTCAGCGTCGGACAAAATCAATGGACACTTTTTGACATAGTACTTATGTTTTATAGTTTAATTTACTACCCTTGTATTATATAATGCACCTTCAAGAAGGTTTACGCTTGAATTTCTGCCTAGCCTTGATCATCATTACTTAAGTCAGTACGATTAACAGCATAGTCTTGATTATCCATTTAATCATTAAATTGTGAAGGAAAGTTATGCAGTAAATCGGCTCACAATCCACTAAAGATCGCAGGCTAGCGATGCCATCTAGAGTTGATTATGGTCTGGATAGGATAATTAATGTCTAATTAACATTTCAGGCCTAAAGAAAGACCTGCAATAGACAGATTTAGATCTTGCATAATGTGTGTTTAATTAATGTCTAATTAATAATTTAGGTAACATTTCAGGCCTAAAAAAAGACCTGCAACAGACAGATATAGCTCTGGCATAATGTACATGTATGTTTAAATAAAAATATTATAATTAATATTTTGAAAATTAAAATTGTAATATAACAACAACTTTTGCAAGTTTGTAAATTTTGTTTGTAAATTCAGTACTGTGTGCTAAAAATAATATTGACTAGAAATAAAGTTATTGACTAGAAAGTTTCAAGTGAATACTCCAGGGGTATTTCCAACTTTTTATGCATGTTTATTTACATTTAAAAGATGATAAACTGAAAGTATTGACATTTCATAAAATATCGCAATATAGTGATTTATTGCGATATTTTCAGGGATATCGCCCAGGTCTAGTGTTGAGAGCAGTTTTGGGTCACGACAAGGCTCATTCAGACCATTATTTAAATGACGCGAGTATTTAAAATATGTTTGCATATATTTGATAAGAGAAAAATGACAATAGTGTAATTAGTCACAATAAATAGTGTAATTAGTCACAATCAATAGTGTAATTAGTCACAATAAATAGTGTAATTAGTGATTGACGGCTTCAATACAAATGAGCTAAATCACAGAGAAGATGCTTCACATTCTTGGCTGATTCGGACCAGCTTCTTGGCTGATTCGGACCATGATCAGACCATTGACAAGAGTATTTAAAATATACTGAGAGCCATGGAAAACGCATCACTTTTTTTCCCAAATATTTTATTACTAGGTGGTTTTGTATGTATAATATTATGCAATACTATGAACTATTGTTTCATACAATGCTCCCAAACGCAAAAAATATCAGCCTGTGTGCACAAAAAAAAATTGCACACGATGCACATGAAAAACCCAATATTCACGTGCAGCATTGTGTGTGAGCCCTTTAAAAGCATGTTACAAGTTAATGTGCAGTACATGAACTGTGAAACGTCAATCTGTCGTAATTTGTTGTTGGACGTGTGACGGAATAGAGCTAGAGATGCCGAGATTTACTGAAAATCAACGGAATGAAGCCATGGGAATGTCCAGGGCTGGCATGTCTACATGTGCTATTGCCAGACACTTCAATTGTCATCAGTCCACTATTGTTAGGTTGGTGGAACATGTTCGAGTTACTGGATCAACACGTGACCGTCAACGTCCTGGTCCACAACGCGTTACAACCCAGACTCAAGACCGCTACATCCGGTTCACTCATCTGCGCGACAGATTCTGCCCAGCGACTCGAACAGGTGCAGCAGTCGTCGGAAGACAAGGACCAGTAAGTGCCAACACCATAAGACGTCGTCTAAGAGAAGTAGGACTCCGTGCAAGACGACCTTATGTTGGAGCTATCCTCAGGGATCATCACCGTCAGTGGCGTTTGATATGGGCTCAAGGATACCAGACATGGAGAAGAGTAGACTGTTAAAGTGTGCTCTTCAGTGATGAGAGTCGCTTTCATCTTTATCACGCTGATAGCCGTCAACGTGTGTGGAGACGTCTTGGGGAACGTCTTGCAGACTGCTGCGTCTTCGAAACGAATCGATGGGGTGGGGGAAGTGTAATGGTGTGGGGAGGCTTCACATTTCATCACCTGACCGCCCTACACATTTGCAGGGGTCGCGTTAATGCTGTAGCCTACCGTGATGATGTCTTGCAACCAATTGTTGTTCCGATGTTTCGAGCGCACCCACAACTTCAGCACTACCAACAGAATAATGCACGTCCGCATACCGCCCGTTTTAGTATGGACTACCTGGCTGCTAACAACATCAATGTCTTGGACTGGCCAGCCATGTCTCCGGACATGGCACCGATAGAACATGTCTGGGATGAGATTGGACGCCATCTGTATCTGGGACCACAGATGCACACCATTGCTGCTTTAGAAGCTGCTCTTGTCCAAGAATGGAACAAATTGCCCCAGGCCTTCTTTCAAACATTGGTATTGGTAAATTCCATGCGAGGTCGCTGCATAGCGTGCGTAAGAGCCCGTGGAGGACACACACACTACTGACATCTGTGTTGTACTTTTGGTTTTGACCCCTCTGACTTTGTACCGTTGATTACAGATTTAACATCCATAAGTGTACAAATTTGTTGTTATTGATGTGTTCCTATTTGAATATTGTTCTCAATAAGAAGCAAAATAAAAAACATATGTTTACGGGATCATTTTGTTATACGAAAAACTAAGTGATGCGATTTCCATGGCGCTCAGTATAAGTTTGCATAACAATAAATACTATCGAGTATTATCAAATTGTAACCCAATATCAAATAGCCTCATACCAGTATAATTAATGCAACGAATGCGATATTTTGTAATGAATGAAATTGAAATAATGACAGACAATTGTTCTTTGTATAATATTTTAATTAGTAAATATCATTTTATTTCATATAACGAGACATTTGACGGTCAAATTCAATTCCTTTACAAACCAATATTTTATTAAAATAAAACATACACATATTTAAAAATATTTCATAAAAAAAGCGGTAAAATACATATTCTATTAATACACATTTCAAAATGTTTCATATAAAAATCCAAAATTAAAAAAATACACATATTTCAAAACCTTTCATATAACAATATAATCATTAAAAAAAAAAAAAAAAAATGATTATTTACAAGCTCTATTATGATTTAGTTTACAGTTGGACCATATATATGCGTGGCTTTGTTCAGTAGACGTCTTGTGGTAATTTCATTTTCACAATATTTTCTCCACAATTCCATTATTTTCCCCTCTGTTTTTCTAGTTTGTGTTGTCTGGTATCTAATAGCTTTCCCTCCTTAACTAATTTTAATTGGCTTGGTATTTGGTCCACTGCCTGGTATAAAAGAGTAATCAACAAATAAAACAGTAAACACCCCTTCTTTGCCCTTGTGTTCAGTTTATTATGCCACCCCTGTACATTATTATTATCAGGCAAAATAGTCCATTTGTCAATTACAGACGGAAAAAAAGAAGTTTTGTATACCAAACTTTTAGCAAGGAAGTTATGAAAAAGACAAGTTTTATTACTTACAATTCTTAATCTTCAATTGGTAATATTCTCTGAGCTTGTGATACATTAAAGGCATCGTCTTCTATAGGTGTTTGATCTGGTAAATCAGTTGATACATGTAAATCTGACAAGGGAGGTGGGAATCTGTAATGTAAGTACGATAATTACATTCTGCCAAGGGGGGTGGAATCTGTAATGAACTAAAATATGATCATATTAAATATTAACCACGTAGTCTAACAATAATTACACTCTGTCAAAGGGGCGGGATTCTGTAATGGAATTAAAGTATGATCATATTAAACATCAACCATGGAGTCTAATAATTACAATCTGACAAGAGAGGAGAATCTGTAACTACAATTAATGAATTTATGAAAAAGTTGCCTTACAATTCGTGTTAGAAAGGGTTGGGTGATAATAAAATCTTTTTTATCAACGTTATTGATTTGTGTTCATATCGTCAGAAAAGGCTTGTTGGAGATCTATTTACCTCAGAGAAACTTCTTCTGCAAACGACAATCTGCTACTTTCATCTATCGGTGTTAGATCTGGTAATAAATCTTCAATACAGCTAACATCACATACAGATTCTTGCGTTCTACATTCGCTGCATATAAACTCAAATACAGAATCGTTCTCTACAGCCTGGTTGTATTCTTGTAGCGATATCCCTAAACATAAAAGACGTGAAATATTACCTTTCATATTAAACTGTTTAGAAATATATTGAATATATTATTGATCTAGTCTGAAATGCAAAGTGTTTCCTAATATCATGTGTGTCTAATTAATTATGTCAATATGATCCCCCTTGTTTCAAAAAGAAAAATAAGACTAGCAAATTTAACATACTTGTATTACATTTTCTGTGTTGCCAACCTCCACACACATCACAATCAATGGCAAGGTGGTTCTTGTAATGTATACTCTCTTCTTACAAAACAGACAAATTGGCAAGGTGGTTCTTGTAATGTATACTCTCTTCTTACAACACAGACAAATTGGCACAGGCATCTTGATATAAGTTTCAAGGAGCAATGATGTGAGCACATTTTCCATCATAGACCGGAGGCTCAGCGCGGGGGGGGAGGGGGTCCATCAAATGGGTACAAATCAGACCCAACTTTTCTAGAGTAAAATTTTGCGTAGAATACGATGCCGAGTAGTAATCAGACCGCCGTTGG